AGGGCAACTGGGATGTGGGAAAGAGAAGGGAAAGAAGGAGAAATTTTGTATGTATGTATAGACAGGATAGTTAATATAGTTGTTCTACTGTCTTCTATTTCTTTGCTGAAAGAAACTGTCAATGAGTCCTTGATTGATCAGTATTGCATGTCTATATCTGTTTTCATGAGAAACCATTTTGAAGATATCAATATGTAATACAACAAGCCTTGTTAATTCCCTACCACTTTGTTTGGAACTCCGTATTGTCTGTACTGTTCTTTTGCTATTGTGTAAAAGATTGTCTGTTGTTAATGTTTTCCTCCTTTTATTTTTAAAATTGAAAAAAAATATTTTGTCCTTATTCTCTCTTCTACTTTGGAATTTCAAAATAAATAGTATTTATCATCAACAACTTTTAAACTGTTTTATATTTTTCATTGGAAGAGAAAATTATGTCATTATATCAATAAGTGCCTTCAGCATTCCAGTCCCTTGACAAAATCAATGTCCATGCTTATCAAAAACATCCATTAAACTATGAACTGGCTATTCCTAAAGTCAGCATCTAATTTAATGTGGAAACACAAGGAGCTTCACAATAACATTATGGAGAAGGTAAGCAAGCTCATTGTTTCCATTAATTACCTTTGAACACTGCTGTAGAAATACAAGCCAATGCAAATTTTGAAAACATCAAATACCTGGAAGGAAAACAGTTGGAAGAAAGATACAGAGCTATCCTAGGGACTGATTATGTCATAATGTATTACTAAAAACTAATTTTTTTGGAAAAAAAATTCAAACAAATTAGTGATAAAACCAATGCAAGCAGTAAAAATGTTTATTAAGAGGAGTAGAAAATTAACATCCCTGAGCAATGTGCATACACAAAAGGAAATATAGAAAATATAATTGAAGATTTCATTTACAATACCACAAACACAACAGTAGTTATCTAGGTAAAAGCATAACAACATATATATGAAAGGCCAATGTTGGAAACACTTCAGCACAATACTACAAGTTATTATTAATAGAATGAAGGGGCTGGGGATTTAGCTCAGCAGCAAAGCGCCTGTTTGGCAAGCGCAAGGGCATGAGTTTGATTCCTGGTACCAGAAGAAAAACAAACAAACAAAAAATTAGAATGATATCCCTTTTTATTTAATGTAAATTCTCTTCAAGGTTAGGGAAATTTAGCACGTTACAAAAATGAGTTGTTTATTTTTCTTGAACAAAACAAGTTGATTCTAAAGTTCATATTGCAGAAAACATTAGAACACCCTCAAGAAAATGTGACATCAATGAAAAATGTTCTTCAAGATAATAAAGCACACTGAAGCCTCTTCCCTTAAAATGTGGAGAAAGGCAATACTGCATGAAGTCTAAC